TAACCCTAATCAAACAATCAAAGTATCAATCTTAAATTAGAGACAAGTGAGTAAGTAATCTGGAACTTCTCAACAGATCACATTCCTCACAGAGTCACAGTCCATACAAATCAAAAAATCACAATCAGAATAACCCTAATCAAACAATCAAAGTATCAATCTTAAATTAGAGACAAGTGAGTAAGTAATCTGGAACTTCTCAACAGATCACATTATTCACAGTCCATACAAATCAAAAAATCACAATCAGAATAACCCTAATCAAACAATCAAAGTATCAATCTTAAATTAGAGACAAGTGAGTAAGTAATCTGGAACTTCTCAACAGATCACATTATTCACAGTCCATACAAATCAAAAAATCACAATCAGAATAAACCTAATCAAACAATCAAAGTATCAATCTTAAAAACTAGGGTTTAGAGAATAGAGATTACTTCGTTTCTCTAAAATAAACCCCCGAGAACAAAGGGCTTCGATTCCTAGCCAGCGAACTGCAATCCACCGGAGTATCGCTACCGGAAACGAATGGGGCTTGAGCGCTTGACTCTTGAGAGCTTCCACCGGAGAATAATAGCTTCCACACTACAGACACTCACACTCTCAGGCTCTCAGCGTCTCAGAGACTCAAAGAGACAGTCTGAGAGAACTAGAGAAGAGACTTTGAGAGAACTAGGGTAGAGACTAGAGAGAACGAGAAGAGAGAACTGAGAGAGTTCTCTGGAAGAAGGGAACGAAGAGCTGCGCAAATGAGACTAGGGTTGCGATTTCTCCGCTTCTTCTTCTATTTATACTTAGGCTACACGACGTCGTATTACATAGGGTTATACGTAGGCTTAGAAAAGTTCGGGTTCTCGGACGGGTTCGGGTGGAAAATATAACCCCCTCCCCGCCCCAACTAATGCGGCGTCGTTTTCGGCCTCGGATCGGATTTGGTTGTTCGGGTTCGGTTCCCGACCCATTCCAGTATGACGGGTTCGGGTCGGTCGGGTTGGGCGGGTTGGACGGGTTATGCACAGCCCTAGCCACCACCACCACTACCACCCTAGCACCACCACCACCACCGCCACCACCACCGTCACCATTGCCTACATCACATATTTTTATAAGGGTATTTATGTCTTTTAAAACATATTTCATTTCTATTCCTTAAATCAACCAAACACTGTAATATAATTCCTAAAGTCTATTCCTTTCGCGAACCAAACAATAGAATACAATTCCTATTCTATTCCTTGCCTATTCCATTCCTTATGGAATAACATTCCTATTACCTCAAAATTCATTCCGTGAACCAAACGTGCTGTAAGTACTAAGTACTAACCCAGACCCAGTAACCCTTTACCCTTAGGGGTCGTTTGGTTCACGGAATGTCAGATTACCTTAGGGAATGTTAGATTGCTGGGAATCTTAGATTCCTGTGTTTGGTTAAAATTGGGGTATGTTATATAATCATGTTTGGTTTAGGGTTATCTTTTATACACACACTATAATATCTTTAACATAACCAAGGTTATCTTACATAACCTAAGAAATTGAAGGGAATCACATTCCCTTCAAAATCCTATGTGGAGGGAATGTGACATTCCTTGGGAATGTTAGATTCCCTCAGATAATATGAACCAAACATAGGAATCTGAGTTTTGGAATGTCACATTCCCTTGGTTATGTTATATAACCTGAACCAAACGCCCCCTTACTCCCTTACCGTCTGCCCCTGTCTCACTCTCTCTGTCTATCATCGCGAACCCTACCGCCGTCCGCCATCGTCCTCTCCGCAGCCGCAGCCGGCCAGTCGAGTAGCGCCGCTACCGCCGCAGCCCTCTCCGCCTCTCTCGAACGACTGAAGGCCGAAGCTGAGTCATGCTCACGCCGGACAGGCCCTCACCAGTCACCGCCTCACAACCCTCACCAGTCACCCTGTTTCGGCTCAACCGCTCAATCACCCTCGATAAATTTATCTACAATCACAAATGACACTGTTTTTCTCTCTCTATAAGTCTATAATGATAGTAGTAATAGCATTTACTTTGTTAATTTTTAGCACCATTATTGAATACAGATTCTTAAGATTGGAGTTGCTCAACAAGGATTTTGCTCTGACTCTAGACTGCTGTGTTTCGGCTCCAAAAATCCCAAGATCCAGATTCATCAGGCTCTATAATTAATTTGGGTATTTTTTTTTTTTTTGGGGAAACTGAATTTGTTTGCACTTTGAGTTTTTTTTTTTTTTTTTTTTTCCTTTTTGAAATTTGATGAATGTGTTGGAACTCTGGCAGTGTTGAACTTGGAAGTATGAATTATAGTGATGAATGTTTAGTGTTTATTATTTAAGTCTTATTCTCAAAAATGGTCGGTCGGTGTTTCGGTTATCGCAATAACCGACCGAAACCGATATAGGGTCGGTTATATCTATATGGTCAGTCGGTTATGGAGAGTTAAAAGTATGATGGGTTATTCGATTATCGGTCGGTTATTGACCGTAACCGACCGATGCTCACCCCTATTACCAGCTGTGGTCTTTCGAGTTTTAAATGACCTCAAATAGTCCTCCATGTTTTGAAATATAACCACCCGTGGTTTTAATTCTTAAAATAACCCGAGTTTAAAATGACCACGAGATCAGACGTCCTAAAAGAACCACGGGTAGTTATTTTTTAAAACATGGAGGACCATTGGAGCTTATTTAAAACTCGGAGGACCATAGCTGGTAAACCCCTAATACTCGGAGGACCATTGGAGGTATTAACTCAAATAAAAAATGTATTTATTAAAAAAAAAAGTATAACAACTCACTTTGATTTATTATATATATTTATTTTTATAATGCAATTAGAAAACTTCAGTCAACCTACTGGAGCACAAAGAGTCAATACCATCTCCAATGAGACTCGAACCCAACCCACAACTTCCCATAGAGTCAATAGAACCCACAACTTCCCATATGAGAGAGCAACTTGGTACCACTAGACCACAAGGTCATTAGCAACTCTAACTAATTTAGAATTGAACTATTATTTAATTTAATATAAGAAAACAACTTTTTTATTCGAATGTGTGTTTTGGATGAAGTCTGCATTATGATCTTAGTTGATAAATGATCACAAATAGGTAAACTAACTTAATTTGCTTATAATTGACTGGCTCAAACTAAGAAGGCCATATAGACTGCTCGCACATGGAGTTTGAACTTGAAACCTTGTGATTATTAAATCAGTAGCATGAACTTGGTTGGGATTACCCTACACTAATCTAATTATTTTAGTAAACTCTACCATGTGATCCTGGTTAGCAAACAATAGTTATTGCGTGGACTGTGGTTCACACAGCTGTGTGGACCACGGTCCAAAAACGACGCCGTTTAGCTTTTATATATATATATATATATATATATATATATATATATATATTCACGTGACCCTGCAACAAATATTTTTATAACTCATAATATATATTATTCTAAGTCATAAAGTACATTATTTTATCCCAGAAGTTTCATTATTCTAAGACATAAAGTACATTATTCTAACTCATAAAATTTAACGACGTCATTTTGGTCCACGATCTGTATGGACTACAATCGACACAATAATTTGTCGTCAACAAATAACTACAAGGGAAAATGGCACTTTTTCCCCCTTAGTTATATACTTATATCATTTTCTTCACCTGAATTATGCATGTAAGCACATTAACCCCCTCAATTATTTAAAAGTGGCGGTTTTCCCCACTGATATATTAAATTGACATTTCTACCCTTAACATAAACATATTATTTATTTTTCTTCTCCAACAAATTATTGTGTATACGTAGGGATGACCACGTTCGATTCGAATTGAACCAGATACTATAATAATCGAATTAAAATTTTACGGTTATGATTCAGATCCAGAACCCAATATTTGGATTTCAGTTTATTAAAATTATGAATCGAAAAAACTAGATCCTGAACCGTGAACCGGCGGTTCCAGATCCGGTTTGCGATTTTGAACCATCTTTATTTCAAAATAGTCTAAATTCAACAATAAATGTATTTTATTTTTTTCAGTTTGGAACATGAACTGGCCGTCCCGGTTTGCGATTTTAATAAACTCTAAATATCGGGTTTCGATTCTAAATTGTAATTAGAATATTTCGGATTGGTTGCTATAGCGTATGTTTGGTTTGAACCAAATTGTGGTCATAATTTGTTAGAAAAAAATAAATAAAATATTTATTTTAAGGGTAAATATGTCAATTTAATATTTCAGGGGGAAAACAGCCATTTGGATAAATCAAGGGGAAAAAGTGCTATAAGTATATAACTCAGGGAGAAAAGTGACATTTTTCCTAACTACAATGAGATAAATCATCATAAATTACTTATAAACAATTGACTTAAATCAAGAAAATTAAAAAACCATTTGACTAAGAGTCAAACTTAAAACTTTGTAATTACCAAACTAACAACCCGACCAATTACCCTAACCCAATTTGTCATTATGAGCCGGTGAATCAAATATTGCAACGCTAAATAAATGTATAACTTATAATTCTGAATTGAGCAAAGTTTATGCATTTCCCTAATTAATGCAACAAAGAAAAAAAGCAGCAAAGAGACAAAGATAAAGGAGATAAATGAAGTAAATTTTGGCAAAAATAGACCCCCAAAAAATAAAAAATAAAAATAAAGAAAAAGGACAACCGGAAAATGCGGGTATGTATGTCTCACTTGCTCTTCATGCTTCAGGCAGCAGCTTTCTCACTGTTTTCGGCTGTCTGGTCCCTTCACTTGTGCGCTTTCAAAGATTCAGATCCGGGTGAGTCTAATATCGGGTTATCTTTAAACCCTTATCATTTCTTTGCTCTCTTCATCCTTCTGCTGCTAGCCATTTCCTGGACCTTGAATGCTTGATGCTACTTTCATTGGGTATTTGTTGTTGTTCTTGAATGAGCTTTATTTCCTTGTATTGAAATGCATTGGTTTATTCACTTTTTTTTAGTTCTGTTTTGTTTTCTTTCTTTGTTCTTTGTGTATATGAGCTTTTGAGATTTATCTGGAACTGTGAAGTGGGATTGGGAAAGATAAAGTTGTGGTCTTTGTCATCTTTCTAAGTTCTCAAATGTTCATGTTCTATTCCTGGGCTAGTGGTTCTTTTTCATGGATAATAGATAAAACAGTGGTAAAAAAATCTTATCTTTTATGAAGAGTTTGTTTAAATTTGTTTGACTGATTCTGATTTGGGTTATTCAACTTTATTTTTTGCTATATTGATTTATGTCAAAATGTTAGCAGGAGTTAATTTGCTGAGCTAAGAAGTGTTGAAGTAAATTTCTGTATATCACTTTGGGATCAAGTTCTGCAATTTTTGGAGAGAATCTTCAAGAATGGAAGAAATACAATCCCACTCAGATCATTATAGGTCTTCATCATCTTCAGCAAGTAGTCCTGCAAGTAGGGTACCCTCAAGTAATTTCTTTTACCTAAGAAAACCTGGGATACTTAGGCAACCGATATCCTTTGAAGATTCCCCTGACTGGGAAGACACTGATATTGAGGCAAAGTTGGATGAAGGAGGTGACTCTATCCATGCCGCAACTACCCCAGCCTCTCCATCCCTTTCGAAGCTTAATAGTGGATCACTGCCGTCCCCGCCTTTGGCAGAAGGGGCAGTTATAACAAGGAAGACTGCTGGGGCCTCGGTAGCATGGAAGGACTTGACTGTTACTATAAAGGGAAAGAGAAAATACTCTGACAAGGTGATCAAAAGCTCTAATGGTTATGCATTGCCGGGCACAATGACTGTTATAATGGGCCCTGCTAAGTCTGGGAAATCAACTCTCCTTAGGGCCCTTTCAGGTATGTTGTGTTGTATTCAAATGGTTAGCATATTTAGAAAACATTTGCGTTTTACAGAACAGTCCATGTTTCCATAAAAGACTTGATTTTATTTTGTTAATCTACTTTAGGAAGGTTACCTGATCCGGCCAGAATGTATGGTGAGGTGTTTGTAAATGGTGCAAAGTCACGCATGCCATATGGGTCCTATGTAAGATCTTACTCGTGATACTTATCTATGTATTTAAATTCATGATATTACCAAAGTTTCATATGTTTTTGCTGTTATCTAAGGTAATTTTGCATATATACTTCAAACATAAGTGCCTGGATTCTCAAATTCACTTTTATGGTCTGTTATTAAACTCGTAGTGCTATATTCAACTTAGATGAATACAATTACCTTAGAATGTATGGGTTCATTCTGATGGTCTGGCTAGATTTATTTTTCCGATAAAAGCTTCATTATCTTAGTATTCCATAATTAACAAGGATATTCTATGTGTGTGACTAGAAGGAAATGATCCTTTAAGTTTTGGCCGTTCTTTATAATCTACCTATCTTTTAAGGCAATGGTAAAAGTATGAGAAGGTTTTCAGAGAATGACCTTTAAGAATGGGCGGACATTTGGGTTTGCGATTATGATACACTTCTGTTTTCCATCATACAGGACAGTAATTATTTCAAATAATGATGCTAAAATAGAATGATTATCTTTCTAGAAGTCTTAGAAGGAGATAAATCTTGTAAAACCCTAGCAATTAATGTGCCAACTTTAGGTTTATGCTAAATGATAAATGAGAAAGGTTCTGCTTCTAACTTGTAGGATGCTCAAATGAGCATGTAGTCATAAAGCGTGACTGCACTGGACTAAAAGAAAATAATGATACTATGACCCGATACTAATGGCTAAAAAACAATTACAATTTCTATTGCTACTGTTCCTTATTTAGTTATTATCTAGCTACAGGAGGGAAGAGAAATATAAACTACATATAAAAAGGGGGGGAATGAAACAAAAAATAAAAGCACAAAGTGGACCTGCAAGCAGCGAGTAAAGTGAAAAACATGTAGCTAGAGTTGAGACAAAGGTGGGGTAAACAATTCTTAACTCCGAAGTCTATGGAGACTCAAAGTTCACGATCTTCTCAAACAAACTAGTTGGATTGTTTGACTTAAGTAATGGCAGCTTTATAGAATGTCAAATTTGGATTAGTGAAATGCAGTTATTCTCTGTAAGGTGATCTACTGACTCTGTTACAATGTAGTATCTGTTCATATCTACTTTCTCAACCTATTGAAGCACAAAGAGTCAATACCGCCCCCACTAGGGCTTGAATCATGCCACTAGACCACAAGCCCACAAGGTCATTGGCACAAATGATGCAATTTAATCTTGAACTATAAAAGATATTGATATTAGTCTTCCAAGACAATTCAATTTCAATGAAGAAAAACAGATATCATGTTTTAAAAACTTTGGATGCATATAAGTGCATCTCTGGAAGTAACTATATTTACTATGTTGACATCCTATAATTCTTTGGGCATTAACAGGGATATGTTGAAAGAGAAACTGCTCTTATAGGATCTTTGACAGTGCGTGAATTCCTCTACTACTCAGCATTACTTCAGCTGCCCGGTTTCTTTTGGAAGAAAAAGAGTGTGGTGGAGGATGCCATCCATGCTATGTCACTGGGAGATTATGGTAATAAACTTATAGGTGGCCACTGTTATATGAAGGGTCTTCGAAGCGGTGAGAGAAGGCGTGTCAGCATTGCCAGGGAACTTGTGATGAGACCGCATGTTTTGTTTATAGACGAGCCCCTTTATCATCTTGACAGGTTTACTTCTCACCCTGCTCCAGACTTTTTATTTAGAGAGGACTCCAAAAATATTTTCCACCAGTAGACCTAAGTGTCACGTGCATAGAGTCTGGCGCAGCACACAACGCCCATGCGGCGTCCTAGGCCCCTCATACCCCACGGACCAGCCTTACCCTCATACGTGCCAAACTGGTTTCGTCTTGCCATGGGCTCATCAGGGGAACGGCAATAGCTCCTGACCAGTTGTGCCCTTCGAATCGCATCGGTCCCCTTCATAGTCAAGTCCAAGACTAGCGATAGGCTCCCCAAACTTAACCGGGTCGGCGTGCCTGACTCGGCCAGACCATAGCATCTACGGCAGAACACCCTTAATGCTATTGACGCCCCCTTTACCCATTTGGCAAGCTAACCAGTTGGCCCATTCATTCCTTGGGTCTTAACACGGTCACGGAAAACAGTCCGTGACATAAGGCTTCATTTAATACTCACAATTGATATGGTTGAGATAACAAGATTGATTGATCAAACTGTTTTACCAACATTGAATTATCTCGTATGTGATGCTTAATCTGCTAATATGTCCAGTGTTTCTGCACTCTTGATGATGGTTACACTGAAGAAACTTGCAAGTACAGGATGCACTTTAATATTCACCATTTACCAGAGCAGTACAGAAGTATTTGGCCTCTTTGATCGAATATGCCTCCTTTCAAATGGCAACACACTGTTCTTTGGAGAAACACTGGCTTGCTTGCAGGTACTAAATCTACAAGAAATACAAATAATATGAATAATGATTTTTCCAGCATTGCAAAAAGCCATTGATTGCTTAAAAATACATAACCTAAAGATGAATGTACTTGGCCTTGCTTCAAATTTTTATCCTTCAATCCCATATCAAAATCAACTTGAGGTTCCTACTGCTAGTAACAATTTCAAGTCTTGTTTTCCAGGCACAAAATCGTTCTCAGATTCACCCCCCCCCCCCCCCCCCCCCCCAACCTCCCCCGAAAGAAAAACCCAATGAAAAAGAAACAAAGAAAAAGAAATTCAACTGGTTACACCAGAATGGTGTTTTGTCCTTTTGAACAATGACCATTTCATTCTCCTCTTTGATTCTGGCATATACCAATCAAAAGAATGGGAATCAATACTCACTCCCTTTATTTGTATCATTGCATTCCTCATAATACCAATTGCAACATTAAAGTTTGTTAGTTAGCTTCATCTGAAGCCATTACTCAAGTTTCCATGACTGTCTCTTTTTCCCCATAAAAGACATTGATAAGAGTAAAATTATAGATAATGTTGTCTTGAAGTGATTGCTTTACACAAATCAGGCAAAAACTATCAAGTCTTCTACCATTGTCAAATGTCAAACCTTCCTTTCTGAGTTATTCTTGGTGGACAGAGACTAACACATCTTTCATTTGTGAAGCACTTCTCAAATGCTGGATTTCCTTGCCCAATCATGCAAAGCCCTTCTGATCATTTCCTGCGGGCAATAAACACAGATTTTGACAGGATTATTGCAATGTGCAAAAATTGGCAGGTACTGGTTGCAAGTATTGTTAGATCAGATAAGCATTTATTGTTTCTTTTGGCAAGGGAACTGGGTTAAAAAGAATGCAAAGTCTTCCCTATTTTTTTCTGGAGAACAATTCCCTTATGCCGTAATATAATGTATGAGTAAAAGGAAATTCCATTGTACTTTGGGAACCCTGTGAGTCATCAAGATTTTCCAAGTTGGTTCATGAGATCTTCCCTGCGGCTTATGTTTTTCATTTGAAAATATATTGAATTTTGGACAGGATGACCATGGAGATCTATCATCAGTGAATATGGACACAGCTGTTGCAATACGTACCCTTGAAGCAACGTATAAATCCTCAGCAGATGCAGCTGCAGTTGAGAGTATGTTAGTGAAGCTCACTGAGAAGGTACTTTTACCATCAATATTTGTTTCACAGTAGCTTTCAGCACTATTGACTGGAGTGTATGATATTGAATACTGAAAATTACATGCTGTGTATGTATTTTATTTTAGAACATGTAAAATTTTGCTAGTTCTACTATCTGAGGCTGCTATTTTTATTTATAAACTCTCATGTTCTTATCTTTGAAGAATTAAAATCTTGAAGCACTTTTCAATTTTTCTCCGCTAGGGGTGGGATAGGATTAGATGGAACTATTTCATCTTTGAATTCCAAGTATGTTTGTATCTCATGTATACTTTTGTAGGTGAAGTTAGACCTAGAAGTCCTAGAACAAAGCAGAACTCCAATAACTACTAAACCGTTCTTGTTCTTTTCCCAAGTTGGTCGGGCTGTTGGCTTGGTAACCACAAGGTTCCAAGTTTGACTCCCAGTGGGAGCGGTTTATTGGCCTTCTTGGTTTGAGCTGATTAGCTATGGGCAACCTAGGCTAAGGTGGGGTTTACCCAATGCACACCCTGGCTGCGGGTTTCCCTCGTCACCTGAAAAACGAATGTAACTGCCCCAAAAAGAACCTCCCAATTAATGCTTGAGTTTACCTTTTGCTTCTCGAATTTTGTTGCTTTGCAGTTAGATTCCATCATTGTTCATAGAGCTCTTGATGTAGTTACTTGGCTATTCATAGAACATTGTATTGCTTCATGATCCCTTTTGATTGCTGTTGCCACAGGAAGGTCCGCCTCTCAGAAGCAAAGGAAAGGCTAATTGTGCAACACGAATTGCAGTATTGACTTGGAGATCTTTATTGATCATGTCAAGGGAGTGGAAATATTACTGGTTTAGGCTGATTCTCTATATGCTTCTAGCGCTCTGTATTGGCACTGTATTCTCTGGGTTGGGGCATTCCTTGTCCTCTGTTGGGGTAAGTGAATGAGTATGGAAAAATCAATATGGCCAGCACTTTGCCCCTTAATTGGGCCGGCCCGGTGCGAACGGGATTAGTCTGAGTATGGTACGGGCTTAAAGGTGCCTCCTACAGTTAGGGCCTGCTCAGGACACCTCGTGATCTGACAAAAAAAAAAAGCATTGATTTCACTTCTTTATCGAATATTCTTAGTACTGCAGTGCATCTCTTATTTTTGTCCTTCATACGTGACCTTATTCCTCCTTGTCATTGCAGACAAGAGTTGCAGCTGTATTTGTATTCATTTCGTTCACCTCTCTTTTAAGTATAGCTGGAGTACCTTCTCATACAAAAGAAATCAAGGTAATGCTGCATAGAAGCGTGCTTATCTAATGGTGGATAGTCGCACTCGGTGGTTATTTCTAACGCTATCAAACGTCTTACAATAATATGCAGATATACAGCTGTGAAGAATCGAACCGGCATTCTGGGGCTTTTGTTTTCCTGCTTGGGCAACTTTTCGCCAGCATCCCGTTCTTGTTTCTCATATCCATTTCGTCAAGTCTTGTCTTTTACTTTCTAGTTGGTTTGCGGGATGAGTTCGGGTTGTTGATGTACTTTGTGCTGAATTTCTTTGTGTGTCTCTTAGTAAATGAAGGAATGATATTGGTTTTTGCTTCCATCTGGCAAGATATCTTCTGGAGCATAACGACATTGGTGGTGGTACATGTGAGTATCACTTCTGTTTCTGAAATAGATACTCTTTTTTCTCCTTTTCGATCTCTCTTCGAGTCTTGGCACATCCGATTAGATTGTTGATCTCGTGTTCGAGTTAGTCCAGTAACCATTGCAATTTGTTTTTCAGGTGGTAATGATGCTTTCTGCTGGCTATTTTAGAATTCGAAGTGATTTGCCTGGACCAGCATGGATGTACCCGATATCCTATATAGCATTTCATACTTACTCTATCCAGGCACGTTTCTAAATCGTCAAAACTCTTTTTTTTCCCTAAGGGCCCTTTATGCCGGTGCGCACAAGGGATTTGTCACTTTGGGCATAATCCCCAAACTGTGGTTGCCGAGTTTCGAACCTTGATCTCTTCTCTCAAATATTGCCTACTAAACCACTGAACTAAGCCCGTGCGGGCTACTTTCAACTCTTTTGACCGCCTTATCTAGTAATTCCAACAAAAATATCAGAATCCCATATGTTGATTATGCCTCGTGGATGCTATGGAATCTAATAATCATCCATATATATATACACATTCAGGGACTCTTGGAGAACGAGTACATCGGGACGTCCTATGCAGTCGGGCAGGTGAGGAGCATATCGGGCGAGCAGGCTCTGCGAACCTCATACAACATATCCGAGGACAGCAACGCTAAATGGAAAAACTTACTGGTATTGTTTCTTATGGCTGTTGCATACCGCACTGTTGCTTTCGTTTTACTGAAGTTGTGCGTTAGGAGAAATGTGGCGGGGCGTACACTTTTCTGCTGTAACAAACATACAAACAATCCCAAGTAATGCTAGTAATAACGTATGGAAACTTTTTTGCTGCACTCGGGTTTTCTTTTGAGTTTTTACTTTATGGAAATTATAATAAATGCCGTCATACCATACACAATTTTTTTTGGCGTCGTAGAATTAATGATAATTCATGAATATGCAACCTTGTACACGAGATGTTTAATGATGACAAGCTAGAGTCGCATATTACTGTGTTGTTTGTTGAGACTTGAGAGGATATTCCTTGTGCAGATGCTGATAGGTTCCCCACATTACTATTTTGTGCTAATTGTATCAACACATTTAATGTTGCAGAGACCATTATTTCTTGGCAAAAAATGGCATTGAACTTGCATAAAACATAAAATTTTGATTATCTGATTGTTTAAGATTAAGATATGCTACAAATGGAACATATAGACTCCAATTCTGGAAAATGCTCTTAGAATTGAAACTATAAAATGATACTAGTATTTCACACGTGCGATGCACGGCAATATTGTTAGAGTTACAATTAAAGGGTCAAATAATAGCAAATAAAAGTAAAAATATTTTTTATAACATTTGCACATAACTAAAATTACAAATTAATAAAAATTTCTTTGTAAATGACATTTTGTGTAGTATTTAAAAAATCTCTAAGTTCACCACATATTAAAACCTTAAGACTATTGCATTATTAACCCTCGAAACTGCTGCGTACAACTGTCTATGGTTAAAGACGGGTCTTTTTAGTAACAACCTGACATGTGATAGTGTTTGTCCGTGACTTTTGTTGATTGTCGTAGCGTTTGGCAACGTAATTGTAAATTACTTCATTTGGAATTTAAAATGAAGTCTTAGGTCTGAAGGAGTTAATGCCAATCGTGGGATAAGAAAATTTCTATCTGCATTGTTTTCACATAAGATTTGAGCTTCAATAATATGATTTCCTAATTTTATAACGATCAACCATGTGCCGCCTTAACTCGTTTCCCCCTTGCTTCGCTTTTCCCTTGGGGGAATCTTACCACTGTATAAATGAAGGCTCGATAAGTGTCTTCACTTCATCAAATGTTACAAAGCCCCAATGATTGGTCTATTTTCCTTCAACAACATAACTGGAGATCCAACCTTTAATGTTAAACAATGGTTAGGAACACCTAAACATCTCAAACTGTTAAGAAATTCAGTAATGTGAATTTTAGATAAGATATCTACATTTGTATCTGACTTACACACAGAATCACAACTCAAATACGTCTTAGAGGAAGCTTCATTCATACCGTTCATGTATTCATTGACAAATATTATTTTATTAGATTTAAGAAATAACTAAACAAATGTTAATAAATCAATTGTTTTTTTTTTATATTTACCCTTGGACGTTAATGACATAAATCTTTGACATGCAATAGCTTCGTCGAAATCAGTAACTAAATCACGGCAATAGAAAAATTACAAATTATTAAAAAAAAATTGCAAACCACATTAGTAGTTGACTTACAATATTTTTTTAATTCACTAAAAATTAAAACTTTTACACTATTTGGATTACTAACTCTTGAAGCAGCAACATACAATTGACCGTGAACAAACGTTGATTTATTTAGTAACAACCCAACATGTAATATTGTTTGACCTTATCTTTTATGAATGGTCATCGCATATGAAAGTATCACTAATTAAGAATTGTCTTCTAGTGAACTTGAATGACAATCTCAAATATGAAGGCATTATACTCATCCGAGGACCAAAACCATCCAAGGACCAAAACCATTTTACCCATGACTACTTGACATTATTATATTATTGATCTAATAAATAGGCACTGCTGGAAATTGCCAATTTTCCGACCACCAAAAAGTGGTCGGAAATGGCCAAAATTCGTGTTCCGACCACTTTTCTAACCATTTGAGGGGTTCGGAAAAACCCTCGTCGGTAAATCCGACCACCACATGAAGTGGTCGGAAGTAGCGTCCACTTTTGTAAAGTGGTCGGAACAAATCGACCCCAACAGAATTGGCGAATTTCAAATTTTTCGACCACAGGTCGTCGAAAATTCCCACCTTCTGTATATCTGTGATATTGGCAGTTCCGACCACATTTGGTGGTCGGAAAATAATTAAGTGAAAATAAAAGAAAAATTCACTGCTTTGTAAATTTAATTTAAAATACAAATTATCCACTTGCAAATAGCAATTGTAACACCAATAGTAGTTTCATACCAATACAAGTTTATGATACTAATCAAAATAAACAACACCGAACCATACATTTAATACAATTCACATGCAATCTGTGGCACTAGTGTTTAATCAATCACAATTCACAAGCATCATACTTTGACCTTGGCACTGCAAAAGAAAAAAGTAGAGTAAATAGATTGAGAGTTTGAGAGAGCTAGCACCATAAGTACTATGGTTAGCATGTAGCAATCACATAGAAAGTAATAGAAGAATAAAGAAAATGAAACAACCTATTTGGACTAGCAAGCAACTTAAAGTGGAAACTTTCGCCTATTTCGTTTCTGCCTAGGCAAAATTTTACATACTGCTTTTACATATATTCTAAGTGCATCTCTTTTTATGAGATGTTTTTGAGATTTCTAAAGATGCAACACACTAATCATAGTGTAAGCCCTTGTTTTTAAAATTTTCTGTCGGCTTTCTAGATGTCATTTTCCCTCTGATATTTAAGAATAAAGAAACATATACACAATAGAAAGTAAAAAAAAAACACACATAATAACAACAAAAAGAATAGTAGAATAGAGTTAATTACCTTATAGCTATAAGGATTAAGGAGTGAAGGAACTTTCAGAATCTGGTAATAGTGCAATCACTTCATCAGAAACGAGATTGGGCTGAAGAAGCAAGAACTGAGAAAGAGTTTGAGAGAGATTAGAGAAAGCAAGTCCCCTAGTTCAAATGCATGAGATGATGTATCAAGGAACCATTCTCAATCAAGTAAAACTCCATATGCATGCAGTGAAGATTGATGACACATTAAAACCTCCTCAAACTAATGCTACAAAGACATTACGCAGATGAACCAGTGATGAACATATGCAGCCTGAATTTCTTTTTTACAGGGCAAATAAAAAATTAAAGCTATATATATGATGATCGATCCAATGTTCTTATAGAGTCACAGAACCCTATTGACTATCTGATACAGAGATGATGAAGGAAAGAAAATAGAGAAAAGAAATGTTTCGAAACCTGAACTACATTTAAGGCCTCACATCATTGTCATAGGTCTCAATCATGTCATCCTCTAATACCTTTGCACCAGAACTTTCATAGTATCCTATAAAATGCATAAAGTAATTGAATGTCAAGCAAGCAAAAAAAAAGAGTATACCATCTTAATAAAAGAGAATGGAAAAAAAGATAAGACACTTTCATATGATGTATAGGTAGATGTAGATTAAGTAAAAGATTCACCCGATAAACATAAATAAATACAATAAATATAGATTAAGTTAAATTTCTTAATTGTAATGAACACAAATGGACTGCAAAATGTCTTTTCCCTCCACTTGGGACGAGAGTAGGTCAATTCTATCGGCATCAGAGTCAACACTGTTCAATACACTTCAAACAACTACTAAAATTGCATCTTTAGATATGGTGACATATCAACTAAACTGCATCACTGTCAGTTAATAACAAACTACTAAAATGCCATCAATATATATTTTAAATGTTTGTAGAATTGATTTAGATGATTATTACTCTGCAATTAACTGAACAAGTCTTTAATAAGCAGGCCATGTGGAAAGGTCAAAAACATTAAATTAACATGTCTTTAAATATAACAATCATACCAATAAATTTCTAGAGCCATCTGCTAACCATTGCCTGCAAACTGCCTCTATCTCAGATATGAACCTTTATCAAAGTAAAGTTGTATTCCTCAACACCTCACAACAGAACCAGACTCAGCACATTCCGCACTAAAAATTAGTAAATAACTTAAAGAAACACAATACCTTTCCCAGCTAGGGCCAGCAAGTTTGGCACTTCAGTAATAGAGACTCGTAGAAGTGGGATAAGAAGAGAATATTTTCGGCTTTCCGCCATAGACAGCCCAACAAACATGGTGAAAGTACCCGCAACCCAATGCCGTAAAGGCTGTTCAGACCCGTGAGCACAAAACATTTTAAAACATAAACATGTAAAACAAATTACATACTTCAACTGCTCAACACAAAACATTAAAAGTCATTCACAAGAAAAATAATTGAGTTTAATATTACTTGGTATTTTTCTCAGTTGAAAAATAGATACAAATAAACACATTTCTGTATTCTATCATTTTTCTAATTAAAAAATAAAAGAAAAACAAGAAAACTATTGAAAAATGAAACAGAAAAATGCAGTAAATAGGATAAAACTTTGAAGGTTCTTTTTTTAAGTCAATATTAGTAGTAACAAAGCCAAATATGACTCACTTGTAAACTGGATCAAATAGGGAATAACAAAATTGAAAGCATAAAACATAAACCCATCCAATGCAAGATGCCAGAATCGTCAACAATGCACATATATAACAGTAATGACTACCAATAGAATGCTTGACAGAAGACAAGAAAAAAGATAAGCAGTATAAAGAAACTTACAAATGCCTTACTGTTATGCAGGCTTCAATTAGGTCAAAAAGATCTTCCACTATTTCATATATACAACATCCTGCACAAAAAGATCTTCTACATACATATGAATATACCTAACTGATTAAAAATCTAGATTAGGTCAATAGATTAAAACAACCCAACATTGCTTACGAGAAGGACAATGGTGCCGGTGGGTTGCTAATGAAGACGATGGTGTCAGTGGGTTGCTAATGAAGACGATGGTGCCGGTGGGTTGCTGCCGTTGATGGGTCCTGAGTTGCTGCCGGTGCCGGAGGCGTGAAGGAAGGAGGAAGGCCGGATGGGAGATTGAAGGAGTAAGGCAAAAGATTGGGGCAAAATAATCCGGGAGTGAAGGAGGGAGAAGTGGAGGAGTGAAAGAGTGGCAAAATTTGGCAGATTTTTGGGGTGAAAATCTGAGAATGGCGTGGATTGAAGGAGGGAGTAGTGTGAAGGAGTGGAGGGAGAACCGAGGAAATGAAGATAAGCGAAATTTTGGGGCTAAATTGAGAATGGCGCCAATTTGGGGTGAAAATTTGGCAGTTTTTTTTTTTTTTTTTCGCATTAAAATTTTGTATAAACATTATGCAATATTATGCATTTGACAAATTACGAACTTTGACTAATTATAATAAAATATAATAACAATTAATTGTTTTACATTATTATGGAATAATATGCATTTCATGGGTGTAGTAAATAGTATAAATTTTGACTTCTTTATTTTTTATTGTTAATGTTTATCTTCAATATTTATAAATAGTATCGATTTTGACTTCTTTATTTTATTTTTTTAACATTTATGAATATATAATATATCACGTGCATCTCACGGGTCAATTACTAGTATATATATATAATGGTTTCATGTTTTTTTACAAAAATTTATACTATATGACTTAAAATTTATAATATCACCCCCACAAGGACGGAGCCAGAAATTCGGTTGAGGGAGGCGAAGAAGTAGAGACGAATTCAGAAATTTTTTTCAGTAAAGGCGAAACCTTAAAACAAAAGAGATAATTAAAAAAAACACATCTCATTATTAATATAAAATAATTATATATATATATATATATATATGTGTGTGTGTGTGTGTGTGTGTGTGTGTGTGTGTGTATGTATTAAATATTAAAACGTGACTGTGTCGAAACCATAGGGAAGGAGTAAAAAAAAAATCTGTTGAAACCAATTATAAAAATATGTTATTGTCAAGATTCAAATACATGTCCTTTATCATATCATAATTCAACATGTGCTCAACTAACTCATCTAAATCAACTCTTATTGATATTTAGTAGTTTTATTTTACTAATACTAACACATGTACTATATATACATACATATATACACAAATTATATATGGGGTGAGGGGGGCAGCAGCTCCCCCCCCCCCCCCCCCCCCCCCCGACTTCGTCCCTGCACCCCCAGTATTTATTAAATGTGTTAGAGAAAAACTAAGTTTACAGGAATAATACATTTTTCTAGCAGAGTTAATTCCAACAATGGTCCAGAGAGAAGAATTTCCTTTTTAGCCATTCACTAACATCTATTTAACGGTTGGTTAACGAAAGGACCAATGATGGAACAATTCTGATATTCAATGATTTATTTTGTCTAAATTAAAAGACGATGACCAAATTTGAAAAATCACAATAGTTAGAGGACTATTGCTGGAATTAACTCTTTCTAGCATATTCAATAAATTATGGGTGATCTAGTATGAACTTTTGGTAAGTTATAATGATGAATGTTTGTATTATGTGATAAAAATAATACACAATACAATACACGATGATATACAATCCATTACGTCAGTTTGATAGAAACAAAGTGTTGTGCCGTTGAAAGAGCATCCATGACCACCACTATACGAGACAGCGTAGCAGGGTCAGACATGGTTCGCTCATAAGAAATAGTGGCAAAGTCATCAGGAATGGATGTCATGAGAAAACCTAGACTAATAATAGCATATGAATGTTTGCATTCTATGATAAAAATAATACGTAGTACAATACACGATGTTATACAATACATTATATAGAATGATGAAACTTAACAGAACTAGGATTGTAGAGTCCTAACAAGAATAAATGATTTAAAGAGTAGAAGTAAGAAAATGATTTATTGTATCTACATGGAAAGGGCACGGTCTTATTTTTCATAGCAAGAATGGTGAGATGGTATCTATTAGTAAACTTTCTTCGTCGTGGTCAGTTGAAATTGAAAAAAAAAAGTATGAGTGAAATAATAAATGATAAAAAGATAAATCGTGTAGCATTCATACCATTGAACCACAAAAAAAAAAAAAAAAAAAAAAAAAAGGATTTCCGACCACTTTGTGGTCGGAAATAGGATTAGTTTACAAAAGTTTAAATTGCCGGAAAATATTTCCGACCCACCCTCTAAAGGTGGTCGGAATTACCGACCACTTATTGAATGTGGTCGGAAATTCCGGCCACTTTCCGGCCACTTTAACCATTCGTCGCAAAAATGGAAAAAATTTATTTTTTCCGACCAAATTTTTGGGTGGTCGGAAATGAGGTCGGAAAAATAGTGATTTCCAGCAGTGAGGTGACCATAAAGATCATAATAAATAGATGAACAGAATGTCCATTAATAACTATATTATTATTAATAATTTTTATATCATGTTAATGTTAATATCTAAAACTGCAATTATTTTTTTTAAGCAAACTATTAATATATTAAGAACTCATCAACTAAGCAATACAATCAGGACCAAGACTATGTGGTCTAATGGTACCCGGGTTGGACTTCCATTTGGAAGGTTACGAGTTCGAGCCTCAGTGGAGGCGTTATTGGTTCTTTGTGTTTCAGTAGGTTGAGAAAGTATATGAACAGATACTACAATGTAATAGGGCCAGTAACATTCAAAAAAAAAAAAAAAGCAATACAATCAGGAGGGTATGAGACCCAAGAACCCAAGACATGCAGATAAAGAACCAGTTACTCATACAAGCACATGAGTCACATAATTCGCTGACCTCTTGACATGGTGAACGGAGATGTTCTCAATGTCTCTAGCAATAGAAAGACATTGCTTAATAAACGGTAGGAGTTCAAATCTTGGTAGTAACATATTTTGATAGTTGGCTTCAACAGTTTTTTTTGACTCCTTCACAATAGTTTCAACACAGTCACGTTTTTAAAAACTTTTTAATATTTAATACATACACACATATATAATATTATTTTATATTAATAATGAGACGTGTTTTTTTTTTTAATTATTTCTTTTGTTTTAATGTTCGCCTTTACTGAAAATAAAAATCTAAATGCGTCCCTACTTCTTCGCCCTCCCTCAACCGAATTTCTAGCTTCGTCCCTGGCAATCTGACTCTACTATAACATTATTATAACAAATATTCTTTAACCAAGCTAAAATTATTATTTAGAACATTAAAATTACGAAAATTATTTTCAAATATTTTCAACACACAGCACTATATATATATATATATATATATATATATATATATATATATATATATATATATATCATGGCACGTGTCCATTCAGGCCAGTCACCTTATCTGGCGTGGGTTTTGTGTTTTTTTGGCACGAGAGTAGCCAGTGGCCGCTTCTTAAGGAGTCCATCGTGGACTATGTTAAATCAAGTTGTTAGTATGGTATGACACACTCTGTTTACCCCAGGTGCACACTGCCATACTCTATTTCTTCACGATTGCACCATCTCAAACAGTTTGTTTTTTCACGAATTCTTGCCAGCATGTATGAGTATGTAAAATCAAGTTGGTAGTCAATTATTCCTACACAAATATACTAATAAAGAATGTGAAAAAAACTGTTATTCGGAATCTCTGAACGGCGCACACTATTGGTCTCAGGTGCATAGTTGTAGCGCGTGGGCTCGTTCCATTAGGCACGTTTTTTTTTTGATTTATTGTTTTTTGTTCTTCGGTCAGAACTCGCAGTTGTGGCTATCCATCATACACTCACTATTGTTCACAAGTGCAGAACTGGAGCAGTCGTGGTCATTTTGGGTCGTATGTTAGCACGTACACACACCCATATGAATACGTGCTCACGCAAATGTCCAGCGCAGCACACTCAGAATCTCACATGTGCACACACCCCTCTGCCATTGATTTTGGAAGTCAATTATTCATACACAAATGCACTAATAAGGAGTGTGAAAAAAATTGGAGTCCAGAATCTTTGGAAGGCACACAGTAGTGTGCTTAGGTGCACAATTGCAGCGCACGTGTTCATTAAGGTTAGTCACCCTATCGGGCGTGGGTTTTGTGTGTTTTTTTTTTTGATGGGGTAGCTAGTGGCCACTTCTTTAAGGAGTGCCTCATTAACTATGTTAAATCAAGTTGTAAGTATGGTATGGCACAGTCTGTTTACCCCAGGTGCACACTGTCCTATTCAATTTTTTCTTCAAACACACCATCTCAAACAGTTTGTTTTTCACGAATCCATGCCAACACTTATATGACTATGTAAAATCAAGTTGGTAATCAATTATTCGTACACAAATATACTAATAAAGAAGGTGAAAAAAACCGTAGTGCAACCTCTGAACGGCACACACTATTGGTCTCAGGTGCATACATGGGTACACGTGGGCGCGTATGTGCACTCTCATCAAAATGTAGGTGCACACAGCCACAGATGTCCAGGCCTATATGTGCACTTCAGCATCGTAGGGGGTGCCGTTGTGGCAAAATTGATCTGTATTCAATAAGATGGCGGATCTAAGTGGGTGCACATGAAGATTACCGTTTCCGCATTTGTTTGCACAGTGGTATGAGATTTAATTTGTCGTTTGATTGCATGCTTAAACCCATCATTCCCAATTCTTTACAATTCAAAATACAATTGCAAACATGGTAAGGTATTGAAATATTAAACTTATTGTCGTGGTCTTCTCTAGCCATCATTCTTTCCAATGAAGTTCACTTGCTCTACGGCTTTAGCTGCTTCAGGATGCACACGATCGACAGTAATTCCTAGGCGCTGGGCGGAGATGATTCTGGAGCAATGTTGGCGTTTACAGAATTGGAGTCCAAGTGGAGTCCTTAATCATCTTCTTTTCTTAAATTGTTGGAATCAATTCAAATATTATATTAGTTATTAATTGTTGGCGGGTGAAAATTACCCCAGTATCCTTTTTAATTATTTAAGTTGTAGATCTCCTTATTAGTGATTACTAAATCTAAATCATAGATTGGGTGAGATTCAAAGGCTAGGATTAGTTCTTACGTTCCTACCTATACAGTAGTTCTTACTTGAAGCCCTCCCTATATATATATATATATATATATATATATATATATATATATATATATATATATATATATATATATGGATTAATATTTGATGCACCGCTGGTGTATAGATGCTATACACTGGCGGTGAATGAGGAGATGACACATCATTAAAGAATAAAATCAATGTTAATCGAGTCCTTTTTTGTAAAATATTACTTGTATTCTTTAAGGAAATTCTTTTATTTTTAATTAACGAAATATATCTACTTTCCTAAACATGTTTATTATTTAATAGTATATATTT